AAGTTTGACACTCTAAGCACCACAAGAGCCAATACTTTGCATTCAAGGCTGTTAATATTGGCTTATAGGCTGAAGCCCTTCCATAAAATTAAGTGACGTAGAAATTCCTGCACGCAGTGAATTTGCTAGTCTACAGTCCCGAGCTCTTATTAAAGTCCCTGGCAATGGGTTTAATGACATATGTTTAATTACCTTCTATAATACGTTATAAAATTCTCGTGAAATGAAGAGTGATTATTTTCTAGCAGCCGAGCAGATATTCCACATTTCGTGCTCTTCAATTTCTTCAGCGCATTAGCTACAGCCGGTTTGAAATGTATTGGAAACATGATGCTTCTGTAAACAATCATTCCTCTTGGAAGGCTCATCTTTTTCTTCTCACTACAAAATACTGGCTGTTGTTGTTCCTTGGTAAGTATTCTGGGTTTCTCCTCGGACGATCAAAGACAAGTGGTTCCACTATGGATGGATTTGATTTCCTTAGTAGGTATTTAGGATTCTTTAAAAAACCAGAAATGTTCAGAAATTCGGAAATTTCTCTTCATCCCCATCTCTCTCTGTAGCGCCAATGAACTGTATAAACTTCACATCGCAGTGCGCCATGGGGTTCATAAGCAATATTAGTGCAGACGGAACTATTTCTAAATTGGAGTGTGCTATTAACAAGTGTGACGACTTCTGGGTTGGAAGGTCCTAGGTTCAAGTCGCGATATATCCCTAAGCGCGCTTCCCACTTTCACCTGTGGAAACGTTATAATTGTGACAGTCGCACAGACGGCTGGTACTTTTCTCCGATCATTAGCTGTAAATTAGTGAGATGGCTACTATCTTAACCTTGGAGTCTCTGATCTAACATTAAAACCTTGTGTCACACTATGATGAAAATACCAAATACCCACTAATATAAAACTAGAAATTTTATGATGCTTTTACAAAACTTTTATAGACACTGCACACAACTAAAATAATAAAGTATTGAAATCAAGCTTTACTGAATACTTTCTATGAGATGCCCGTATGCTTTCAATAGTTAAACCATAAATATCTTAAATACGAAGTAATAGTCCAGTCTTCTTTCTGTAGATAATAAACGATTCTTTAATAAGTAATTACATCAAACTAACATGCTTGTTAGCTTTCGGAAAACGTTTGTTTCAAGGGCTATCTGCGCATTGCTGTCCCTAATTCTGATAGATTAGACCGGGATTTTGCCGCAACGGGACACGAATCATAGATCCACAGATTCGCAGTCCGACAACGCTAGCCACAAAGCCACGTACATATTTCATAGCAACATTTGCTATTAGATTAATATAATAATCCATATCAAGTTTAATTTGTGTATGTTCTCCTTAAATATGCATGTATGATACGTCTCCTAACGTAGTAACGATGTAAAAAAAGCGATGCGTAGCATTCTTAACGTTTAACGTCAGTTTCGAAGATGGAAATGTTTATGATCTTTGATTACTTGTTATACTCAGCGTACAACTCTGCTAATATTTGATTACTTCTTATAGTCAACAAACATCTGTTCTAATATTTGATTACTTGGTATACTCAGCGTACAACTCTGCTAATTTTTGATTACTTCTTGTAGTCAACAAACATCTGTTCTAATATTTGATTACTTGGTATACTCAGCGTACCACTCTGCTAATTTTTGATTACTTCTTATAGTCAACAAACATCTGTACTAATCTTTGTTACTTGTTATGCTCAGCGTGTTTGTTTGTATGCATTTTGTTGTGAGCAGTTTCCAAAATTTTTTTACCTTTGTTGGGGTAACTTATACATGTTACAACTTATGTCAAGGGATATTTCTTGGAAGATCCGAGCATGGATAATAATAATAGTAGATGGTTCCATTTTTTAAATTGTGGCACAGTACTTATGGAGCCACATAGAGAGAGAGAGAAAAAAACAAAGATTCTGAAAATTCATATTAAAGCGTATCAAAAACAGCTGAGACGGTAATACAACCATTTATGTTTTTTTTTTGTCGTAACAGACAAAAGACAGATCCCATTTAGAATTCATAAATGAAAGAATTAGGAATAACGTAATTAGATCCCAAGTGAGTTTTTGTTACTCTGGTGTGCTTAAAGATTCTTTTCGTTAATATTAAGCAAAAATTGAGGCACTCCTGTGGGCGAGTTTTAGATATATTAAAAGTTTTATTTCTGGAGACATTAAAAAAACCCGTGTGTTATGACAATCTCCGAGTTGCGTGTACAGAATATGAACGCGTTTTAACAGATTTATCCTTCAGTTATCTTCTTTATTAGGAATATCTACATTGAGTTGGAAAATTGTATAAATGTTTTTCAAGTTCTATATTTTACTTCGCGGTAAATATCAGGGCTTATAACGCTAAAAATGGGGTTTCGATCCGGCGGTGGGCAGAGCACAGATAGACCATTATGTAGCTTTGTGCTTCACAACAAAACAGACACAAAAAAACAAGATATTTAGTTTGTTGTATTAAATTACTTTCGAATGGTTGTTTAAAGGGTTAATTTCACTCATGGTAAACTAAATTCTCAACTGTTGGTTCACACACAACTACCAAAATAATCTACTACGATTTAATACTGAATACTATAAACAGTTGTTCAAGATTTCAATGGAAATCTAATGCTACTTAAATCCTCTTAAGCTTTTCAAGAGTACAATCCATGCCACTGTGTTTGGATTATTGGATTTTATAAATACAGAGGAATTTGTTTGTTTCAGCTACATGAGGGATATCTGCGGTAGATTAGAAGGAAGGCACCTAGTCGAAACCACCTACAGCTAACTCTTGAGCTAGTCTTGTCAAACCGAATAGTAAGATTTCATCATCACTCTTATCATTTGTCATAGCCCCAAAGTATGTATTTTTTTTTTTGCGGCAACAGGACACGTAATACTGCGCCTTAGATACATACATGGCCATACTCGCCCCACAGGGAAATTTAGTTTATGAAACAAGTTGCCAGCTACATTATTATGACTAAAGAACAAAAGGTATGCTCATACTTGAATCTGTCGGCATTAAACAAACGAAATTCTTGATAGCAATGTAATAGTTGGTCAATGTTTCCGAATGTTACCGTCTGCAAATATAAATAACAAATTTCATGGTATTATCTGCTGTAAACTATAGAACTACATTGTAAGTTGTTTTTTGTAATATCTCGAAATAATCTTGCTAAAACAATCATCATAAACGGACATATGTTTGAATACTTGACCTTCTCTAGAATCTGAAAGACTGTTTGTGTTTAGTACTGAAGAAAGTACCAAAATCTATCCGTGTTTAGTACTGAACAAAGTACCAAAATTAATCATTTTAGCTTTTAAATGGCCTTTTTAAGGACATAAATTTATAAAACATTTCGACGGGTATTCAAGCAAGAAAAGAAATTAAAAATGAGTTTATGTATGTATGTTATTTGTATATATCTGTAGTCTAAATCCAGTGCTCGAACTGTAGCTATTTTATAAGTAAACTCAATAGATATAATGAAGTCATCGATGAATCACTCATCACATCAAATTTAAGATTTAAGAAGCTTCGTACTTTACAAAATAATCATAAATAGTAAACTAAAATCAACTTTACCAATAGATCATGGAGATAATACTTAGTACAGAGAGAATTAGTACGACTGTAAGTTAGTCAGCGAAGTCTCACGGTTTTATCAACAAGAGAATAAATTTATATTTATTTTAACAATGGAAACGGCGTTCCCTCTCATTTCGAGCACTGTTTAAATCGATATATATATATTAATGTTGGTTATTGTGAAACAGCATTTTGAAATACCTAGCAAATGTAGCGAGAGCACAAGTATAATGCGTTTAACCCTACAAGACCAGTGGGGGAACATACCCCCATCAGCTTTAAAACACATTTTTCTAAACTATTTATGCATCAAATTGTTTGTGGGTCCATGGAGTTTTGTCACGAAGTCCCGATAGTATATGAGTCACATAAAACAAAAATATAAACGAAAATATCATCACTGTTGCAATTAATTCCACTTATTACTGCTAGGGGTCTCAAAGTACTGTTACTACACAGCTACAAATTTTTCTCGGTGCTTTAAAATGAGTGTGATAATAGACAAAAACAAAATTAGCGAATTTAATGCAGTAGTGAACTGTGTCAAAACAAGTTGATAATTTGAAGGTTAAAAGGTTTGATTTATTTATTAAATTACAACTTTATTCAATTTACCTCAACTGCATAATATACTTCACTATCATGAAAATTCAACAATTGGTGTTGAAACGAATATTTAAATTGTTCATAAACTTTTTAATGGGACTATAAAAACCAAAGACTAATCTATAAAAAAAGTTGACTAAATCTTAATATAAGTGAATATCTCATACGGTTATTATCATTTCCTTTTTGGCAATTATTGCCAAAGCTGTTATTGACTAACGAATTTACGAGAAAGAGCGGAGCACTACTAAATGATGCTTAATCAAGATTAATTTTAAAATACAGTTTTGGCCCGGCATAGTCAGGTGGTTAGGTGCGTTTGACTCGCAATCTAAGAGTTGCCGGTTCGAATCCCCATCCCACCAAACATGCTCGCCCTTTCAGCCGTGGGGGCGTTATAATGTGATGGTCAGTACCACTATTCGTTGGTAAAATAGTAGCCTAAGAGTTACTGGTGGGTGGTGATGACTAGCTGCCTTCCCTCTAGTCTTACACTGCTAAATTAGAGACGACTAGCGCAGATAGCCCTCGTGCAGCTTTGCGCAAAATTCACAACAAACCAGTACAGTTTTTATTTCACGAGTCCCGGATGCCACCATTTATATTACCATACTTTCTGATTGAATTAGAATTTTCCTCGTTGCTAGGGAAAATAGCGTTTAACAATGTGTTATTTACGACAATTTTTCAATTTATTTCCGTTTCCTTAGTTTATTAAAAGTTCATCCTAACATGTGAAGCATTCCGTTAATATTACAAATATTAGATAATTAATGAATCAAAGTTCTAAAAACTGAGTGTTTATTAACCATAATATTTTTTTATCTTGAAGCCTACAGATCACTTGATACAGGTTACATACATAAAGAAAAACAAATACTTTTAAATGTCACACTGAAAAAATTAACAGAAATTCAATACTGCCACCACACTTTTAAGAAACCGTCCAACAAATACATATATGTGAGCAATTCTGACGACACAACAGTTCGAAAACCCGAATATACAATGTGACAGTTAACACCACTGAAGCTAGCAGCAACTACTTTAGTTACTTTTACAAACAATAACATTACACAGATTATTTAACGTGCGATTAAATAGCAATGAAACGAATCCGATTTCATAATAGTTTTATATACAGAAGTGGTGCAAGAAATACAGTAGTGTAGTTAACTAATTTAATATTTTATTGAAAATATGCCGCCTTTGATGCTTCATCTCAAATAGCTTTAGAGGGCTGGTAAATTATTTTTCGGTCAAGTTCAAATCGAGCAGTTACCTGTAGTTGGACTAAGAAAATACCAATTTTCTCAAACCGGTAACTCTGACAGTTAGTTATTGGTAACTTAGTAATCATAATAATAATTCAAACAATATTTCATTATGATATTTTTCTTCCTTAAATTTCCTTGAAGCATACATACCTTAATTATTTTCTTCATTTGTTCACGCATACTTAATACAGTCGTATACTTGAACTGAGAATAACAAGTTTTATGAGTGGTGTTAATCAACACTTTCCATATGAACAATAATGATAATACGTAACATCTGTTATACGCAGTATATATATATATATATATATATATAAAATATTTAGCGATCTGAACTATGCGTATACGCATATTTTTGTCATTACCGTAATTAAGAACTTAGGCGTATTTACAGAACACTATTACTAGAAACCATTAGATATTTTGATTTCCATTTCAGTCTTAAACAAGCTACTGCCACTCTGATCTTTATCCCAGTTACGAATGATATCAACACTCTTTCAAAAATAGTCTCCTCGGATTAATTTCACAGAAATAAGCATAAATGGTTTCCATACGACGTTGTGTGGCATGACAGAACAGACTAATTAGTGACGTGATTTTAATAAATTAGCCAAGTTGTTTGTTATGAGTGTATGGATGACGAAAAAAAAAACGTGTCGATGATCGCCTTCTGGTGATAAAGAAAACGTAATGTTTCACAACTACGAAAAGCTATTTCTAGTAGATAACAATACGTTTATATACGCCGAGTGAAAGTTGTTAGGACTGGCTAAGTCTCCGGTAAAATAATCTATAACCATCGTAACCATGTGTCACTGGGATAACAAAACCATACGTTCACACAGCTTTGATGGCTGAGTTGGCTCGAACCTTTCCTTTCCGTACACCTCCTGTTGACACTGTACCTTTAAGGATTTTCAAGCAGTCCTGTTCACAGAAGACGCTTCCGTTGACCAGGTTGTAACGATCACCTGGGACCAACTGGTTGCGACATTTGACGCAAGCAAAACACTTAAGATGGTACACGTTCCCGTGGGTTCTCATGACAAACTCGTTGGCAGGAATCACCTGACCACAGGCACTGCAGGCGCCGGTGCTACCGAACATACTAAGTAGAGGAGGAAAAAAAAAACATTATCAGTTAAAATAAAGGGAGAATATCCTCGAAAAATCAAAATAAACTGATGTATATTGGGATACTTTATTATCATCTTTGGAAAGAAATTGTACATCATTACTAAAAATTCTAACTTTTTTGTTTTTAGACGAAAGCCACACAGTTGAGTATCTGCGCTATGTCCACCACAGGTATTGCATCCTGATCTCTAGCATTGTAAGCCCTAAAGGTTAGAGTGAGTCAGTGGAGGAAAAAAAGCATATTAATTGTTATGTAAGAATTATATATACATGATATAATGTGTTAAAATCATTTTGAAAGGAAAGAATTGTGAAAATTAAAATAAAGTATTATTATTATTACAGTGTATTTAGAAGGCTTATAACGCTAAGATTGGGTTTCGATACCCGTAGTGGGCACAGCACAGATAGCCCATTGTGTAGTTTTGTATTTATGAATAAACAAATTAACAAGTGTTTGGAAATTTACACACACATATATATAACACGTTTATATTCTTTGTTGTTGTTGTCTGGACTCCAAGAAAATATTAGATGGAGCAATAAATAAAACATAGAGTTATTATACTAAAAGCATTCAAGAAAAGATGTAAAAAAGATTGACAAGTTTACGTAATGACAACAACAAGACAATTACGCAAAATGCAACACTTAGTCACGAAAAAAGTTAACAACCGTTTTAAATGTTACAAAGCTAAACGTCAAGGCTTAAAAGTTCTGCACGATTTCACAAGAGATACATACTCTAATATTGCTCTGTGGTACCAAATAATAATGATCAAAAATTCAAAATTAACTTAAAAATATATCAAACAGCTCTAACAATCTTATTAACAATGAGAGAACTTTACAAGATGGTCTTTTTTTAGTGACAACGCCCATTTGTACTTGTCACACGATGGTTCTTCAGCGACAATGCTCATTTATGCATGGCACACGATGGTTCTTCAGTGGTAACGCCCATTTGTGCATGGCACACGGTAATTGTTCAGCGACAACGCCCATTCATGTATGGCACACGATGATTCTTCAGTGACAACGCCCATTCATGTATGGCACTAGATGATTCTTCAACAGCAGCATCCATTTATGTGTGGTAGCAGCCACAGCTTAAACAATTCCAATATTCTAAAATTTCATTTAAAAGCCCATATAATGACTTTCTGCGTTCATAAATATACAGAACTCGCATTCAGTTTGATCTTTTACGTAATCCAAAAGCTAGCGTTTGACTTTAGAATTAACATTATAAACTCAGCAGAATATATAATACCAAAAATATCCATGAGACCCAGTTACAGTAGAAGTCATTGATCTGTAATGTGACTATTATGTATAACTCATGTCAACTTAAATGTATCAGTTATTTTTAATACACCGTATTTTATTCAGGATAAAGAAAACCCCTCAAACTGCGTATTAGTGATCAACAGTTACTAATACACACAAACACATATAAAGGTAAATTAAGTGTCGGATTATCTTGAAGAAATAAATGCTTTTGACAGTCGAAATCAGCTAGTCGAAATACATATACAAATTTAACGTAATCTTATTTTATTATTTGCTATTTGTTTTTAAAACACTGTTTACAATTTATAACACTATTCAATAAAGAAAAATAGCTAAAAAACTTAATGATTAAAGTCTTCAGTTTATGTGATAAAAGGCTCACGAACAGAATTTCTACGTTACTGTTAGTTATTGGTACAAACACACACAAAACAACTTTTTGCCTGTGAATGTCTTCAGATTGAGAATGTCTTAGAGAGTTTATTACTATGTGATACGACCGATCACCGAATCTTTGCTAATGCCTATGACTCAATTACAAATAACACCATTTCATATACGACCGATCACCGAATCTTTGCTAATGCCTATGACTCAATTACAAATAACACCATTTCATATACGACCGATCACCGAATCTTTGCTAATGCCTATGACTCAATTACAAATAACACCATTTCATATACGACCGATCTAAGAATCTTTGCTAATGCCAATGACTCAATTACAAATAACACCATTTCATTCAGTTGTAATGGCCGGAAAGACAGCAAAAGACAACAACAAAAAAAAAAACGTTAGACAAAACTGTTGAATTTTAGAACGTTTTTAAACAACTATAAATTAACTCTTACTTTAAAAAAAATAACGTTACCAGAGGTTTAAAAAAGCATTCAGCGTTTACGTAGAATTCCCTAAAACTTTAACAAAACGATATCTCAAGAAAACTCTCTCATGAGAAAAAAAAAATCCCATTTATAAGTCCAGGCAAGCCTACGTACCCAACTGCCAAGCACGATTATGCTTAGCCGCAAGTCAAGAATTATCCAATTGTCTTGAAACAAAGTATCCGCGTCAAATTCGACACAAATTGACCACAGATGGGAAGCCACAACACGAAACTCGCATGTCAAGTCACGGTCTCTCAGGAAAATAAAGGTTTCAATCGTCATCAAAAACAACTCATCGTCACTATTAAATAAAGGAAACTAAATAAAACTGTCGTCACGACCGATCTTGTTTGATTCCCCCCCCACTACACACACACACACTCCATCAGTAATCCACACATCTCTTTGCTAAAAAAAAGTTTTTAAGTCAATGTTCTGTATAAAATTATGAAAACTTGAATCAACGACAATAACAAAAAGTGACGCTACAATTCTTTAAGCGATAGATGTCCTTCGATATCAGCCATACCACACGATCAATGAAAATAGTGTCTGTAGATCAAACAGCAACTATTTCTTAAGTGTCTGGCCCGGGAATTTAATTTCCGTTTCTGGCGAGCAAGCGAACTAGATTATCCGTGGTCGGGCGGCTGGAAAATTGGTTCAACAAGGGCACCGGGCAAAGACGAATGTCAAGCAGAACAGCATGCTGAAGATGCAAGACCACGTGCCACACTATTCCTTACAACCATCAATCAGTAATTCATACACTGTGTACACTGTGTTAATAGTTGACGTACTTGAAAATAACAGGGGAGGACATTTTCTTTTCATTTTCTGTAACACTGGAGATTTTGTCGAAAAGAAGAATCTTTATGTACGATGTACAGAGCATATCCCTTCATTTCAAATAGTGACACGTACCACAGATGACGACAACCCTGAAGATGTCAACTGAAATGATTTCACAGATTCTTTCTTGAATGAATGTTGATGTTGGAAGAATGTTAATGGTCCAAGGTTCTTGGGACTATGAAAAATTCTCATTTCGAATTTACACTCTACTGACAAACAACAACAACAACAAAAAGGAAATACAGTCGCATTACCCATTCTAGAGGTTCTCAATCTGTGGTTCGGGCTGCCTTTAGGTGGTCAGTTTTAAGATTGCATACTCACGTAAAGGAAGCGGTAGCATAGTGTAGAACTCCCACTGTGGTTTTCTGAGATGAAAAGAAAAAAGTGGTCCGCGAACAAAAACATTTGAGAACCACTGACCTATTCCCCTTTTCCTCCTTTTTACTCCGGCGAAGCAAAGATACAAACTTAGTTCAGAGGAAACTCTCTGTTCGCTCTAAAGCCAAACCTGTCTCTCGTCATCACTTTGTTTTTTGCAAACGCAAAGCAAAAGCAGTGATAGTCATTTGGTATAAGGTAGCTGTCACGAGTGAGATCCTTTCGGATGTCTCGCCCGTTTTTCGAAAACACGCTGTCGTTACACATGTGCATCCAACACCTTACAAATATTTCGTCTTATTTCCACACTAAATACCACATTTTCTCAGTTCTCATGCTAAGAAATATCAAGTTCCTAAACGCAGTTCAAAGACAACAGAATAAAACCTTAAACTAATAATGCCTAAGAAACAATAAATTAGTTATACAGTCTGGTAATTTTATCTTCGAAAGAATTAAGTTACATAGAACATATATCCAATTAAGAAACACAGCTTTATTTGACAAAGCTTTTGATCGTAGAAGGCTAAAAGAACTTATGTACACAAGCTTTCAATTAGACCTAATTATACATTGTGCACACTACACAAAGAATGTCTCATATTAAACTTCTACTTGTTTAACTTAAATAACGTCCATAAGAGCTGTATATGTAAGAGCTTGCTCTAACCTACACTGTTACAAATTATATCATCACGCAGTTTCCGTGAAGAAGGCGAGATTAATTCATCACGTTTCAGCAGCAGACAGCTGCCGTTTACTTTACATGTAACGTTCATTTTGCCTTATAGTGGATTATGTCATTCGCTGTTAAATAACGTGAGGTATACACGCGTGGAGAACAATTATTTCATTTTAATTATTTGAGCGTTACCTTCGTCCTCCTTTCATAATCGCACACAGAAGCATTTTATTAGCTCTGAATTTATTTCTAGCTGAAAACGAGCTGAACAAACAGCCACTTCCGCATCACCTTGCCAACCGCTACTAATCAGTTTCCCGACGAACTAGGTGCCAATTACATGCAGATGAAGGAGCGGTTTCACTTGTACGCATGTAGCAGCTTTGAGTGAAGACCCAACACAGAATCACTAAACTTATATTATAATATACGAGCGTTGATTGAGAGCAGAATTAATATTTCTTGTTGGCTAACGTCTAACATCGATTAAGTATTTCATTAAATGGTAGACTTGTTTCACTAAAGGATCCGAAACATATTATTCAAATCATGTCTTCCTTTAAATTAAAATATTGTTGGATTCAATTCCAGAACAATGGCGATCAAGCGCACAGTTTAACATATTGCTAGAACAACAGAGAAAGACTCACTCACATATCAGTGTTCTGCAAGTATGACAATTAGTAAGTAGTCATTGCAAAGAAAATGTTTCCAAATTATTCCTCAATGATACTCAAGAGAAAACGAAGGACTGTGAAAAACACACACATTCTTGCATCTAGATAGGCGACAAGGTCTCTTAATATGTATTTAATTCGAGCAGAAAAGTTAATATTACTCTTGAACTCACCGAGAATGTATTTTATATAT